CCAAACTCTGAGTTGTACACAGGCTGCTCTGTCTCAACAGTGAACAAGACTGCAGGGAGAGAATACAAAGTAATGTCAAGATTAATGTCAGTTTGCTCCACAGCCAAGAAACATTTACTGAGGAAACAACATACAACATCTAGAAGATTTGACTTGTGTGTCAGATAGAAATAGAAAGGCTTTACATAGATGTATTGTTTGTCCTGTTTGTGCTCTTATTTATTCATAAAGGTCTATCTGTCCACTGCTGTACACTTTATACTAAACACCTGAGAGAGATTTTTACTACACACCTGAGAGAGCAGGCTGAAACATGACTTGCAAAACTAAGACAAGAGCCCAGTCCATTGAGACCTAAGGAAGATATAAAGAAAAGAAGTTTTAGATATGTTGAAATCGTTTGACCATATTACTGGCAATCTGAGTCATTTCACTGAAGAAGACCAGATGTGAATTCCAGAGCCACATCATCTTTGACCCTGTTTACTTCTTTACTTAAAAATGATATGACCCTAAGAAAAAAATAACATGTGACATGCATTGTTTTTCCTAATGCAAGCATGACTCAGCTGTTTCACGAAGTAAATTACTTCCCTATTGGTTTATTCTGGATAAAGAAACAAAAATAGCACAGGGGTTGTTTGACTGCACCACTGTGTCAACACACACACACACACACACACACAGACAGACAGACAGACACACACACACACACACACACACACACACAGACGCACACACACACACACAGACACACACACACACACACATAGACACACAGACACACACACTAACTATATTTACTTTAATTAAGATAACTGCATTGGTCTTCAGGCTACAGAGTGAGATTCAAACACTTGGCAAAAAGGTGATAAATGGCAAAAATGAAAACAAAACAGATCGATGCAAATTATACTAATGAAAAATCACAAGTAGATAGATAATAAATACTCATAAATAAATGTCTACTTCTAACAAAAACAACAACAACAACAACAAGAATAAAAATAATACATTTGAGCATACTTAGGCTGCTGTTTATCAGTCAATAGCGTGTTCTTACCAGCACATGCAACAGTCTGTTGTATTTTCATGAGGTGTTTCCTCCTTCCTTCAAGTCATCAAATGATCTGAAGTCTAGGCTCGGTTGACTGTTTATAAGTTCCTCGACGTACACGCCCACATTTTTTTTTTGTGCTCTAGCCAACCTAAACCTCAGCGATGCTTAACATGAGTGTAACGTGTAACAGTTATATAGTTATTGTATCTTATAAGAAGACGAGAGTGCCACAATAACAACCCCTTTTTGCCCCCATACTGCGGACTGTGGAGTTTGCTCAAACCTCGACGAGGAAACGAGCTGGTGTAAGCTCCATAAAGCAGTGCAGGGAGACACATTCAAGTAAAGTTTAAACTAAGTTTATGTTTAACTCAAATTAACGACTGTTTAGGGTGGACACGGACACAGTGGGCTGTATTTACTGTAAGGAAAGCAGCAGCGGGTCGGCTTTATCAGGGAGCCGCCGTTTTACAGTATGAAGCCATAAATCAACACTGATAACAAAACATCAAATCTGAGCTTGTTTGTTCTCCGAGGCGCAACTGTTCGACTTTATTATTTGTCTTCTGCACGTGCAATAAGGAAAAGAAAACATGATGTTATAGATATGTTTATGAGAAATCCAATCGAGCTGAGTCAGCCGGATTATTTGGAAATGTCTGCGCTTTCAACTCTCAGATGTTGTCTCAGTAATTTCCAGTTTCACACATCCTCTGTCCACCGCTTCCAACCTCAAAAAGAAAAACAGACTTGTAAAAAAAACAAAAAGTTCTGTACTTAAACTGTCGCTATATATACTGCCGATGGTATTATTGTAAGAATGTGTCAGACTATCAAAACAATTATATTAAATATTCCATTACTGGATTCTCATTAGTGATGCAACCTAGCCTGTAAGAATCAATTTAAGGTGGTATCTTTGTATTGTTGAGAAGTTGTATTAACTAATTATCTAATAGCTATCTAAGTTTAGTGGAGGAAAAAGCGCAATATTTTCCCCTGAAGTGTTAAAGTATAAAATTGTAGATCTAGGAGATACTCAAGTAAAGTACAGTTACCTCAAAAGTGGGCAGGAAATTTGCCAACATCTACTCTGTTTTTTTTCCCACCCCTGGTAATAGCACACTACCACTTTCCACTTGGCTGCCACTACAGTACAGTGAGTAAACTGGAGTTTTCAGTCAGTATTGGTATGTAAATGTAAATAATAGAAAGTACAAACCAAAAGAACAACAATTCAAATTCATGTCCACAGAAGTCAGCACACTTCATTTAAAATAACCTGGAAATTTGAATGGTAGAAATAATGATATGTTAGAGGGTTTTACATGGTCAACAACTTCCATCACCAAGCTGCCAGCCAGGTGGAATTCCCATGTACAAGAGATACGTATCCAATCGTTTTACCAGCTTTGTATGGCCCTTGGCTCTAGTGTGATTCTATGAAACCTTTGTGGAATTTCCATCAGTTCACTTACAGGTTCCTGAATGTTGTATATGTACAGACACAAATTATTTTTTTTGTGATAGGAATAAAATAGTGGCACATGTCTGATCTTATCAGTGTTTCTATCACTAGGGAGTTTATTTTTTTTACAAAACTTGAGCGATTGTTAATTTCCACCATATCTTTTGGAAACCCCTTGAAAAATCTGAAATTGTTATGGAGTTTACTACCCATACACAAAGGTAAAAAAAAAAAAAGATTTGACCTGTCATTGGCACAGATCTCATGTAAACATGCTTTTTCTGTGAAGTCCAGCATTGGTTAAGGTCATATGAGGTTTTTAGGACAGAGCTGTGAGTATGGCTCCTGACATCATACTTAAATCTGAGAAAATACACATTTATATCCTAAATCAAGTATTCTGTTAAAAATGGATGTCTTGAAGGGGTGTTGCAATTTTAGTATATTGAAAGTTGGCCAGTCCCCAATCCTGTCGTAATGCATTCATCTAAAAAGATAGCTTGGCTTGATATGGATCACTGCATGCATGAAGATTTTCACTTTAACTGATCCAGTCAGAACTACACAAAAAAACAGCTTGGGATGCTAACTCTCCCACAAAGTTAATGTATTAACCCCATTTTCAGGATTTATATGTGCAAAGTCCGTCCATTCATCCATTACCCACTTATTATTCCAGTTATTCTGGTTTAAACATTAAACTCTCTGCTAGCCTTAAATATTACACTTTATAGTCCACTACACTTCTGTGTATATCTAAAGTCTCTTTGAATTTTTACATACAAAACATTATTTCTCTTAGATTACATAGGGCACAACCTAATACAGTTTAAAACACTCCACAGACTCTATTATTCGCAGGAAAAGCTACACAAATTTCATCCTGATATCCCACCAGTATGTAACCGATGTAAATCCAAGATAGGTACTCATATTGGAAGTGTATTTTTCAGTTTTTTTCTGAGGCTTTTGGTAAGAATTTGGTACCCAGCCCCTTGGTAGCGATCCTGGGGGCCACTAGTGTCCTTTCCTCCATCAATAAATTTGAAAGAAGATCTATTCAATTTGGGATGGTGATTGCAAAAAAGCTGATTTTACGTGTATGGAAAATGGATTCTGTGCCTTCATATAATTTGTGGCTGGGAGAATTGTCAAACACTTTACATCTGGAAAGATTGAGATTCTATAATGAAGATAGAGGAGACAAGTTTGATAAAACATGGGACCCGGTACTGAATTACCTTAAAAATGTGAAAATATGTCGAATTCATTTATTTTTTCTACTTTTAGATGTTTTTGTTTATAGTATCTTAACTATGACCATGGAATATTGTTGTTGTAATCCAAGATGTGCTGTGTTCTGTATGTTATGTGATCTTTGCTAGGTGTTCTTTTTCCTGTTTTTTTCCCCACTCTCTCTTCTTTCTTTATTCTTTCTCTTGAAAATCAATAAACATATTTGAAAAAAAAAAAATTACATAGGTCAATTTAGAGAAATTTAAGTGAAAGTAACAAATGAAGTCACCTGAAAGAGGTAGCAGTTTGGCCTGGAGCATTAAAAGTCTGTTTGAAGATGACTTTAATGCGGGGTAAAACTGAATACAGCTGTGCTTTTCAACAAAGTTTCAGGTTATCAAATTTCCTTGAATTCCAAATACACTTTTGTCACCCAAAGTTAAAGTTATGGTGTAACACAAATATCTGAGTGCATTTTTAAATCAATGCATACATAAATACAGATAACTCACTTATTTTTTCAGTCCAATTCAAACACATTTTCCTGGCATTTTACTTCTGCAGCTGCCATGAAGCACCATTTTATAGAAAACTGTATTTTACTGTAAAACATGAAGAATAAAGGGGAAGAGGTTGTCCGTATTGTGGTATTGTGGTAATGTTTTGTTTTTTTTAATTATTGGCGGAAACTTTAGATTAAAATTATATTAAATCATCAATTTAGATTAAATCATCAGGAAATGCTTCTAATTTTGAGACCTATACATTTGATTCCAAATGAAAAAAGGAACTTAAGGTATTATGCGTTTGTATTTTGGACCTATGACCCACAAACACCAACAGAGGGAGCCATTTCTCAACTAATTGCAACCAACTTGGGACCTGCAACTGTATAATGCTTGAGACAAGCACATACCACTTTAACACAAGCACTCTATGTAAACTCAAATCCTTTTTTTAAAAACTTAAACTACTCAGAGTTGAATAATTGGTGACCTCCTTTGACTCATGAATGCGATTTATCCCTGGTAAAAAAAATAAAAATAAACAAAAATTACTATGAGTGTACAATTATTCATTTTTGTGGTAAAATATCATTATAAAGCTCGTATAATGTTAATTTTTATGTTTTTAAGTCTGGGATTAGTAGTGTGTGTTTTTTTGTTTTATTTTGAAAGTTTGACCGGAAGTACTCTGTTTATTTATTCCCATTGAATAACCGGTGGAAGGACGTTCGCTGTTTTCGATGCGACGCACACATTCCCTTGAACCCTCGCTAGTCCTGCTTCTGTGACCAGTATCATTATATTATTAAGCTTACCGTCTTCAAACTATATTAGGTATGTAAAGGTTTCGTTTTCAGTTAGCCAAGCTGCCACTCAAGGTTAAAGTGTGTTGCTGTTTCATGTTGGTGACAGTAGCACATTTTGTTGAGTTGTTAAGTTAACTAAACAGGAAATCCCACAAAGCACAGCTAAGCGTGCTAGCAGCTAACAATAGCAAGGTGTGTACGTTAGACGGTGCATTAAATTAACAGGTGCTCTCGAGTCAGCTATTGTAAGTTATAGTACAACACTACAGTGCCATTACACGTTAAAGTCATTAAAGTTTCAAGGCTGGGTGTACCTCCATCCATTGATACGTTACAATTTTGAACAACTGTATCTTTAGGTCAACGATTAACGACGCCACCATGGGGTTTATGCTGTCTAAATCCATGGACGAAAAGGTTATAAAGCAGCAAGAGTTCCTGCTGCACAACTCCCGGCTGCAGGTGAGTGAAGGTAGCACACACACTCACATAGTATCATAAGTCCTTGTATAGGGTCGCCTCCAACCGCTGGCCAGCTGCGTGTCCCTCCCCCCTTTCTCTCCCTCTCCCGTTTCCTGTCACTCTGCAGCGGTCACTGTTGCAGGGGATGTGTGCACTCATGTCTTACATTACAAAAAACATTACAGAAACATTACAAATGTAGTGTTCTAGCACATGTGCTTGATTGTACGTGATTAAAATGTTTCTAAAGCTTCAGCCATGTATCTGTCAAGGTTGGGTTTTTTTTCACTGGGCAAAGCAGACCACTACCCCCAATGCTCCTGAAGTCCCAGGCTCACTGTGTGTCATTTTGTTGAGGAATATGTGAATTTGCATTACACTACAAAAGCATCAACTGACACACTGAGACCTTTAAGCTGGGTCCTGATTTATTACCTGCTTTAGTGACTTAAACAGGGTTTTAAGATGAATATTTCAGTTGATTTAATATATATATATATATATACACACATATAGATAGATATAGATAGATATATGTATATTAATATATTCCTAAAACAATATGTTTTGAATCAAGCTGCCACTGCAAACATGGGGCCATGTACACTGATCTGTCTTATCCATATGTATTTCTTGAATCATCAAAGCCAGGGATACAAACTTCAGTTCCAATCTCAGCATTTCCCTTTAGAGACCACAGGTTTTATTGCACTCGTTATTTTTTTGTTTTTTCATTTAAACAAAGATTTTTTTTTTTTTTTTGTTATTTCATCTTTATGCAGGCAATTTGTAGTGATTTATTCATGCCTGCAAGCTGCTGAGCAGCAGGTGGGATGTGTGACTGTCATAACACCAATGACATTATCTGACTTGCGCCCAAAAGGTTTGTTGTATTTTCTGCTCCGTAATTTTCTCCTGCTCGCCCAGCTGTAAATGTGGTAGAGGATGACTAATATTATTCAGTGATGGCAAAGGTTTGGCAATTGAGTTTCCGAGCACCTTAATTTCGGTCGTGACGATGACTCAAAGGTAAGTATTAGCTACATGGTTAAACATTGCTGTAGTGGATCTACATTGTTTCATTGACTAAACTTACTACAGATAGTTTCATATTAATAATTCACACAGAATAACTTTTGAATACAAATTAAAATTTCATTTTACCATCATCTGTAAAAGCACAAGTGACAATAGCGTCTAGTTTAATTTTGACCTTTCAGATCTTGGCTGAACAAAACATACTCAGGGTCTTCGAGGTCGTTAATAGTCAAATATTATGTTACTGTCTGTAATAGGAAATCATTTTACCGCTTTTTTTCCCTTCAACAATGAATTTTTAGAACAGCAGATTTAATGCGTTTGATTGACCCTAGCAATTTTAGAATATCTGTGAAGCAGCAGCTGTTGCCTCCCCCTGCATTAAGCTGTCAAAAATGATTGCTCACCAATGTTTCTAGTCACATCACTCATAGCTAATTGATCCTTTCCAGATTCTTGCCTTGTGGACTCTTAAGTCAAAGTCACTGGGCATTGTGTTTGAACCATGGGGTCTATCTTAAACATTAGTTGGAAATTCATCGGATATGGGTGTGTTTGTATGACACATGTCCTGAGGATAAATGGTAGCTCTGAGATGACGTAAATGGCGTTTTTGTTCACTTTTTATTTAAGAATGGGTTGGCTGTTAATAGTAGGGTTGTGCTTTTATATCGACAGTCATTGAACTTGAGTGTGGTTGAGTGTAAAGTAGGTAAGCAAAGACCTCCCTACAAGGTTCTTCATTTGTTATATTTCACTAGTTTTTGATCACTGCAATCGTTTCTTTCTAAATATAATGCAAATACTAATAAATGCAAATTTTGCTTGGGTAGCCCTTTTCAAAAACATCACATTTCAATATAAAACAATTACTTGACAGAAGTAGATGCATTAAACATAAAATACTTGTCATAGAGTAGTACAGTAGAACACAAGGTGATTTGAAAAAGAAGCAAAAGACTGATCAGATATAGGTAAAACAACAAAGTGAAATAAATAGAATAAAAGGGGCTGGAATATTGTAATATCGAGTTTCATCAAGGAATATCAGTATATGTTTAATGTAAGCTGTATCCTTGAGATGAAAGAAGCAAGAATGAACCAGTTGTGTGATGTTCTGATTAAAATGTAAATATGAATCACAATAATATTCCACTACAGAGAATAGAAAGCAGAGGGGATGTCAAAACAGGTGTAGCATTAGGGTAAAGACACATTGTTTTGTCAGAAAGGGACAGAGAATGGTACCCTGAGGAACCCCCACGACTAATCAGGCATTAAGTAATTACAACAAACTACAAATGTACAGTTTCAGTCATAGTAATATAACCATTTACCATCATTCGTATCCTTTCGAAAGATACAAAATACTAAACTCATTAGGAAAAAGTACTCTGGAGAAAGTGTCCAACAAATAACATGTTAGTTATGATATCTTTTGTGTGTGTTTGAATGGGGTTGTATATGTTGTAAACTCTCTCTCTCTCTCTCTCTCTCTCTCTCTCTCTCTCTCTCTCTCTCTCTCTCTCTCTCTCTTATGTCATCTTCTCTTCCTTCTTCCAGTATGTAGACTGTGATTATTTATGTGTATCAGTTTTCCAAGTATTGTCCCGGTCTGTGTATGCGTGTAGCCTTTTGAAAATGTCAGTGAATTTCCCGCTTACATTTCAGCTCTGCTCTCACTTCGTCACCTTCTGAGTGGACTCTTCGTGGCTCATTTCTTTCTTTCACTTCTTATTCACCGCCTTTTCCAGTCACCGTCTCACAGTCATTGTGTAATCCTCCATTGTTTGTCCATTCTTGCCTCCAAATCAATTGGTCAGCCTTTTGTGATGTTCCCATGAGAGAGACATGATCTTGACTATTTTTAAAGTACACACACAGGTAAAGGTAACACAGTTAAAGTCTGTCTAAAGGAAATTCAGGGATTTCTCTTTAAACACATTATATATGTGAAATATATAAAATAACTGTTGAACACATTATAAAAGACTGGGAACTCTTACCAGTTTTAGGTTGAGGATTTTTGGGTGGGCGGGGCTAAAAGTATGGCTCTGGAGGGGCAGTATAAAAAAATTATTTGATCAGATTAAATTAAATGAAGGTTTTACTGCGTTGTGTGCAGGTTGGCTCAGTGGAAAGGCTCTGCTACAGTAAGTGGAACTGAAGGGGTATCATAGTGTGGTGGCTTTTGTTCGGACCTGGGGGATTTTAAGACTTTGGGCCTCCCCTCAGACAAAGAAAAAGGAAAAAGCCATCCCTTCACCTCTCCTTAGTTCACTTGCTTAGTTTCGCTCTGTTCCTCGATGCTATCCTGATTATGTTATTTGATCTTGTAGACACTCAACAACTGAGCCAGGATAGTCTAATATTTCTGTCTGACATGACTTCAGACTACACTGAACTCATAAAAGGTCTGTCCTAAGGCATTTATCAGTTTCTGACTCTGGGAAAGTGGGGAAAAAACAGTAAAATTCCCCAAAGCTACTGAATCAGTGATCTCATTAATCAGATCAAACACATTTAGGCTATTCTGTGTGACCTCCTTTTGATAAATAATGTAATAACCAGTGTAATATCTTTTCACTTCCATTCACTGAGCCTTGCCTGAAGCAAACTGGAGCCCCCCTGCGGAGGTCCGCCTCCCACTTTGAAAACCTCTGGCTTAGACATTTGAGTTTGGCTTCTTCTGTTCAATTAATAAAAACGTGTTTTATAGATAAACATGTTTGTATTTCATTGCGGTACTGGTACCAAAACTCAGTCAATGTATCTGGGCTAGTACTGGAAATGTTCAAATGATACCCAATTTCTAGTCATGTTGACAGAAAGCACAAACTGTCTGGCAAAGCAAGCTTTTCTTCACACGTCCAAGATCTGTGATTGTGACCAGACATTGAGTGATTTGGGTGCTAACAGCATTTGTGTTCACATCTGTGAGGTTGGAAGTAGATTTAGCGGCTGTGTGTGTCTGTGTGTTTGTGGTATTGATGAGTTTGTTCCTGTTGGTGACTGTGAGTGTGGTGAAGTAGCAGATGGAGCAATAGACGAGGACTGGCTGTTTGATGCTTCGATACAAGGGGAGCAGTAGGTGGAGTGCAACAGAGAGGGTGTTGAGCTTCCGGATGGTGGAGAGCTTCTGCTGGCAGAGTTTATGATTGGTGTTTATGATTGGAGTGTTCATCAAAGTGGAGTTAAATGTCCACAAGGATTCCCACATATTAGAAACTCAGTTTCATGTCAGCTGTGTCAGTCCTAATAATGCGGAGGTTGTGGAGAGAGATTAATTTGTAGTTGATCCAAAAAAGAACAAAACAGTACGTTTTGTTAACAGTTTATTTATGTACAAATTACAACAATTACATCATGTCTAGCTTTTAGCTCATTAGCATCTGCAGTCTTGGAGAATACCATAATGCCAATATAACCAATAACAGCTACAGCTGAAACAATTAATCGATTTATCAATAAGTCAATCAACAGGAAATTATTCAACTATTTGGATAATCAATTCATTTTTTCAATAATCATTTCAGCAAAAATAGCAAAAACAAAGATTTTGTGGTTCCAGCTTCTCAAATAAGAGGATTTGCTGATTTTCTTGTCATATATCTTTGTAAACTGTATTTACAATATTATAATATTACAATATTTGATTTGATTTAACAAAACAAGACATTTGAAGCTGTTGCCTTGTGATGGATATTTTTCCTCTTAGTCTTAACACAGACTAAGAATTTAGTCAGTGTAAAAAAAATATGAATGAATTTGTTTCACTTTAATGTATCGACTTTTCATGAGCCAGTGAGAGTGGCAAGCTACCAATGATACGGTGTTGGCACATTTACTGATCATACTCAGGTTAAGCCTCCACTAAAACAATTTCCATCTCTTCTTAACTACATTTTCTTCTCTTATTTCCATTGAAATATTCGACCCCCTGTTAAAAGAATCGTTCTCATGAGTGACTCATGGGATAGAGTAATTATCATTGACAAGAAGCGGGTAGTTTTATATTGATGGTTTATTCAAATCAAACATCCAGTACCTCTGGTCTACTTCCTGTTTTGTGACCCAGATGAGAGAAGGGAGGACTTTGTGAGAGGTGACGTCCATGTCACCAGAAACCATTCATTACACGTTTCCCGCTCCTGAGGACCATAACAGTTCTGTGAATGAAGGCGTAATTTCCCCTTTTCTGTCCTTGGAAAGAGGTCTAAATGAAACATAATTATATTCTTGACTCATTAACAATACCTGCTGCATTAGCTTTCTATTTCAACTTTGTCTACTTTTAATGAAGCTATCCTTGAGTTCAACCGTGTTGATTTACAGAGGCTATTCCTGGGATTTCCATTACTTTGAAACATTGCTCCACCCAGAGTATCAAGATAGACCCCGAGGCTTTAAAAAGTTTTGAAAAGTGTAGCTTCCTCCTTGCTGGAGTGGGGTAGCACTTGTAGTCAGCTTGTTTACAGAAATTTAAACTATTCCAGTGGGAATCAAGGTTCATGACAAAGAACAGTAGCAAAATGTATGTTGAAACTTAAGTGTGCACAGAATGTGACACCCGTGTTTCCAGTTTATAATTGTGTGACCATTATGCATGGGTTTTTTTGTATTAAAGACACTATAAAGTAGGGATGTTTCATGAAAACACATATGCAGTGGTGTTAATAAATATATCTAATGTCTAAAATAAGTCTTTAATATTCACAAATGTTAATTAAACCACAATCAGTCGAGCACCATTCTTAAAACAATATTTTAGATTAGATTCAAGGGTTGATTGCACTTCAGTAATGCAAGTGCCTTTTACTATACTTTTACTTTCACCAGTGACGTCTCCGCCCGGTGATTACAGCTTGACCCTCCTAAGCTTCTTAGTTTGATGCCTTTCCTTCTCCTCTACTACTGACATTTAATAGTAGCCAAGCGTTTTAGTCATCAAATCACCCACTTGACCACTTGCTGGTCACAACAGGAGAACAAATTATGTCATTTATTAACCACAGAAGTTATTTGATTAGTGCCATTTCAGTGTCTATTATTAGATTTGCCCACTGATATGTAGAAATGTAGCACGCAAAACTTCTTATAGCACAATTTATCACAAGAGGGAGAGATTAGAATTACTTTCTAGTATTAATTCAAATGTTTTGTTTCTTTTCGAGCTGGATCAACGTGAGTATAAGGCGTACAATGGACTTGCAAATGTGACAAAGAGATGTGTGATTATAGGAAACCGAAAATTCATTACAAAGAATATGTTAAATCATTTCTAATGACTCTTTATTGGAGGAATATGAATTATAGTTGGACCATTACCACTCCAATCAACAGCTGATGACTGTAGACAATTCCTTGTGCCTGCTGTCAGGCCCTGAGGGAGGTTTGACTCATCATTCTCTTCCTCATTCATCCTGCTTGACAAGTTAAACACATTTAGTTCTGGGAGTTGGTCAATATGAAGCCGACTCCCTCATAAAACACTGTTAAATTAGCTATGACTTGTTCATTCAGAGGCCTCCTGTAGCATATAGCCTAGCTTAAAAATGGCTCATCCTCCTCTGTTCTCACCTAATGCATGTAGATGTTTTTCATAGATTCCTGCGAAGATGTTGATTAGATTTATAGCAACCCAAACTGAGCATGTCTTTCTAATCCTTAAAGCTTGTAAGCTTGTAAAGTATAGGTTATGTGCACTGTAGTACTATAGGACCATTTATGTGGGCATGGAAAATGTATGAATTTCCTGTTAAGTAGTTGTTTGTTGTTTAATGCGCTGCACAACTTGGCTGTTAATTCCAGCGGCACAACCTTTCTGTTTGAGAAATGTTTTCTATGCAGACTACATATTGTAGAGGCATGTCTCTGTTTTTACAGGCCCCACCTATTTAATTCACCTAAGCTTCAATGCCACGTAATGTTCAGCCATTAAAACAGATATACTTAATTGTTCGCAATTTGGGGCAGAGAGTCAGAAATCAAAACGTTGCTTCTCCGACATGTTGTAATTTCTGTCATCCGCTGCACGTCATCGACTCACTTGAATGGCACTGTGGTCACTTTTTTTAAACCTTGCATCGACAGTGAGATAGTGTCACTGTCCTTTTAAGTGGACATAAAAGCTCATCTTTGACACGTTCACTTTTTGAGAATAAAGGCTTTTTATGTGAGAATGTCAGTCAGTCCTCTCAGTTTGCAAATGTTATGCAGAAAGCGTGTGTTTCTGTGCATGTCGATGTGAGCGAGTGTAAAACAGGAAACCGCAGACAAAAGATTAATCTGACTGAGGTTCATCAGCATGGTCACTGTTTCTGAGGCTGGATTGACTGTCTCTTGTTCCTTTGACCCTTTCTTTGTCCCTCTCGTCTGTCTATCTGTCTGTCTCTCTCACTGCTGTGACTGTAAGCAGATTTTAATATTTCCCTTGTTTAACTTTTATTTGTTTGAAATATGTAGCAGCTTTTCCAAACCCCTGCAATACACTGCATTATATGTTTGGTACATAAACATACATGTTATCCATTAAATTAGGTTTTTAGCAAATTGTGTCCAATACAAATGTACTTGGGGGGAATTTTGGAGGGTAAAAACAAACTTGTTAGTGCTCTCTGGTGGACAAACTACATCATGAACCTAATGTTTCTAAATAACCTAAAAAAATCTGTGGCATCGGTAGTACTGAACATTTTCTGTTGCTTATTGGCCAAAATAATATCTGATATATTTGCAAGGCTCTTGTATTTTATTTATTTGTTCATTTATTTGATTAATTTGTATTACTGGAACATTTGTTTTCATTAAATGTAAATATTTCAATATGCCTGACGATGTCGCCTGTGTCCTTTCTTGTGTGTGTGTGTGTGTGTGTGTGTGTGTGTGTGTGTGTGTGTGTGTGGTGTGTGTGTGTGTGTGTGTGTGTGTGTGTGTGTGTGTGTGTGTGTGTAGCTGGAGCGTCAGATTGTGATGCAGAACCAGATGAGAGAGAGACAGATGGCTATGCAGATTGCCTGGTCCAGAGAGTTTCTCAAATACTTTGGCACTTTCTTTACCGTGACTACAGTTGGACTCACTCTCGGGTGAGTTTTGTGTGCAGCTGCTCATAGGGGTCTGTCAGATTAGAGGTATTTTGTTCAGCATAACATTCACCCAGAGTTGCACTAACACACACACACACACAGTAATAATGCACTGTGAGAGAACAACCTGTATGAGCTTGTAAAGTGTGATCGTCACTGAACTGAGTCACTGAGTCTTCACAGCTTCAGTATTACATTTATCACAGTGCGATGGCCTTTACTGGTGCAGCTGTATGTATGACGTCCTGTAAGTGTTAGACACAATGGTCACGTCAACTTAAATTGTGTGACCTCTTTAACAGTTACAGTCCTTCAAATACAACCTAACACAAGCCTCCTATAGGTGGCGCTACAGCAACATGACACATTTAAATGGCTGTAAGTCACTGGCCATGAGTCTGATTTGCTTGAATTTATTGATCTGTATTCCCAGGATTATGACATAATGTCCACATAATGGTCTACTGTATTACTGTGTAATTTAATGGAAATCACAGATTTAATTTCCTGTAAATTAAATCTAATTGTGTAGCCTAAATGGAAGTGTGTGCTGTCAGAGTGTTATTATTTATCTTTTTGTCACATATTGACAGAACGGTTCTTCTTGTCTCTGTACTTTTCTCCAGTGCTGTTAAAAGAAAGAGACCAGCCCTATTGGTTCCCATCCTTCCTCTCGGGTTCATATTTGCCTACCAGATGGATAGTGCCTATGGGACACTTATTTATCGTATGAGAGGTAAGACTAAGCCGTTATTATCATTATCATTATCATCATCCCCCCACATAAGCAAAGCTTTAATGTGGGCCAGGAAAAACTAGCCCGCTATCAAAATAAAGTGTTACCTAGACTTGGACACAGGTTTAAACTAAATACTGCAAACCACCTCGCAGTTTTCACAAAGACAACAAGCAATTCTGAAGAAATCAAAAACCATGATATAGTGCAAACATCGACACAGCAAGTAGTGTAACTAATGTTAGCTATGTTGTGGGTCACTAAAGTTGCTAAAAAGCTAAAAGGCTCACAATTCTCCCGACTCTCCTGCTACTATAGTTAAATATTTTCCAAACATATTGACAGCAAGACATTACGAGTTTCCGTTAATTTATAACTATGCCTCACATGCCAAGTTTTTTTGGGGGGTGGGGTATTAACAACATATGCATACACCGATCAGCCATGACATTATGACCCCCTGGGCACTCTGGTGGTCATAATGTTCTGCAGCCCCATACCAACAAACTGTGATGCACTGTGTGTTCTGACACCTTTCTATCAGAACCAGCATTAACTCTTTCAGCAGTTTGAGCTGCAGTAGCTCGTCTGTTGGATCGGACCACACGGGCAGCCTTTGCTCCCCACGTGCATCAGTGAGCCTTGGCCGCCCGTGTCTCTGGTTCATCGCTTTTCCTTCCATGGACCACTTTTGATTGGTACTGACAACTGTAGACCAGGAACACCCCACAAGAGCTGCAGGTTTGGAAATGCTCTGACCAAGTCGTCTAGCCATCACAATCTGGCCCTTGTCAAAGTCGCTCAAATCCTCACGCTGCCCAACACATCAACTTTGATGATAGCGAGATAATCAGCGTTCCTGACGTCACCAGTGGTCCTAGTGCTATGGCTGATCGGTGTGTGTACACATACTAAAACTAACCTAACAAAAAACAGCTATAATACAAATATGTTAAATCAATTCTTTTCCCCATTGTACCTTTTAGGAGAGGCTGAGAGTATCATGGCATCTGAACACGACCGTCTGGACATGCCTCAAGGGACTCCAAGTTTCGATAGCATAGAGAAGGTCCGCCGCGCTAGAAGCAGCCTCAGCTCCCTCCTGGAGAAATGATGTGTTGGTTATTTGAGACAAAATCATAATCGTCCAGCAGACGCATTCACTCGTTCTGCTTTTGCTTAATTATGGAAAAAATGTATGTCAACTGCCTTTATTGAGTCTATGGTTTGCACTAATTATGTATCATGGACATCAACTTAAATTAGTCTCAATATGAATGAATATTAAATAATGATGTTTTTGTGGTAATTATTAGAGGTGCATCAGTAGCCAAGCACTTTGTGCTTTATTTATAGCAGATGCAGAATGCCAATAAAAATACTTGAATTAGTTACTGTCGGTACACTGTCAGTACTGTAGTGTGTCATAAAAAATCTACATCGATTTAATTGAACCATTGTAACATAATTCACCCAGAGACTATAGAACACTGAGACAATAGCTGTGTCCCAAATTCAGTCTACATACTAAATCTATACAGTGTGTACTAAATATGTATCGCAGTATAATACACAAAATTACCAACATACTTTTAAACTACAGGAAATTACACAGTACATAACGGATGTCAATCAACCCTGAGAAGCTACTGCCAATTAAACTTCATAAAAAGACACCAAAATGTTTTTGCTATTTTAATTTATTTGATTTAATTTTTTTCTTTGTTTCTCAAAGATTTTTTGGAGCTGTTTCACCAGCACTTAGAATTTATTAAAAAATTTTTGAGCTTTGTGCATCATCAGTGCACTCAAAAATGGTAAATTTAGTTTGCATGCTACCTGGTTTGTGTATGTATTTTTTTTGTCACTTTTCCGGCCTTAACACACGGCCTTAAAAAGCTGCATAGACTCATTATGTAGTATGGAGTTTGGACACTACGTACAGTATGTCTCAACAAATTGTTTTATGTGTTTGACCACTAGAGGGCATAAAGACTCTTAAACACACTCACAGTAACATAAGCCTTACAAAGTCTGAGCTTAACGAGGTCATGTTTTAGCAAACAGTTGCCTACTTGCGGACACAAAGCAACATGAAAATCTCAGTGGTGTATATTTACTGGCTGTCTGACACGTACAAATGCAATATTTAAATGCTTTTTAGCTCTAGTTTGATTAACAGAGACACATATTGGATATTTGTCCTGACAGCAGAAGATTGTAATTCCCTCAAACTACTTGCTAAGGTTGAATTTGAGTGCTAAGGAGCCTTATGCCAGTTTTCAGTGGATGTAAAATATTACGAGGCACTAATATTGATGCATTCTGTGTTTACCATCCTTTTGTTTGACATCATGGAAACTATATTTATAAATCCAATAAACAGAAATATTGCTTTCTCTTATCTAATTGTCTTTTGTAATAATGTGGCACTGTGATGTAAATCTCCAAAACCAATAACTTCTATACCCCGTTTGTTTTGTTCAGAAGCCTAAACCACTTATAACCTTAATTTCCACAAGACATCATACATGCCTTCATATAGTTTGTCTCCAAATAATCACTTAAACTATTGTGTGAGTAATGTGCACACTCACACTTCACACAAAAACATTTTCCTGATATTAATACAATAAAGAAATAACTCCAAGTACGTCATTGTCATCAATCTAAATGACGTGCGTGTGTCAGAGGGAGAAGGAGGGAGGGAGAGGGCTGGGGTTGAACGCATAAGTTAAGACAAGGACTACGGAGAGAACGAGAAGAGGAAACCAAAGTCCGCTCTGCAACCCAAGACAGAGAAATAGAAGCATCTTTTACAACTTCAGCATTTGGCTCAAAAGGCTGCAACAGAATTCTCCAAAACAGAAAAATAGAAAAACCACCAGGAAACCAGCAGGATTGGAAGCAGAGATCAGATCTGAAGTGGAGCTCAGCTAAACAGCCGTTAGTGTCAGGACAGGTGAAAAATGCTCTGGAGATTGACTCTTGCCGTGGCTGTGGTGTGTGTCGGTGGCATATGCAACTGTGTGCAGGCTGATCTGATGAGCAGGCTGATCATTCCGAGGGACTACGGGGTGAAACTGTGCGGGAGAGAGTTCATCCGAGCAGTGATTTTCACCTGCGGCGGCTCCCGGTGGAGACGGTCCACAGAGGGGGACTTAGGTGAGTTAACATTACTGCGTACTCGTTAATTGCCTAATTTGTGCCCGCTAATTGGAGAAGTGTATATCTAAAAATAGCAGTAACAGGCAACGAAACAAAGTATTTACAAGACTGATTGGAAAATCTACTTTATTTCTGTTAAAATGTGTCTTTAAGTCTATTCAGATGCAGCCAGTGTGTAGTGTGACAAATCTATTTCTCAGTTGGGTTGAAGATGATCGTTTCAGATGGTGCACAGGCGACGAACTGTAATTGATTTCTTTCTTCATTCGTAAATTTCTACAGCGCACTTGTTAGATGGTGAGTTAATACACATCAGAAGGTTAGGTCGCCACAGGGTTTTAATCAGCTGACAGTTACCCCCACATTTCAGTCCAACAGCTAATTGACAGCCTCGGATTTCAGTACCACGGTCAGCTCATGTTCATCGGTAACTGGTTGTAACATGAAAACCTTAAAGTGAGTCATTACCATCATTCCTGTGTTCTTAGTCCTCCAAAAATCAGCTTTTATTACCATATTCTGATTTCCCTGTTTGTTTTTTAGTGTGAATGAAAGTGTGTTTGATGTACAGCAAGCTATTATTTATTATGTATCTGTCCTTTTTCTGTCTCCAGATCCCTTCCAGTGGAGTTCCCTCAGTGACGTTACAGTGGAGGACAACCAGCACACCTGGCAACCCGGCGCAGAGCTCACAGATAACCCCTCTCCTCACCGCATTGCCTCTGCTTACTCCCTGGCAGACCTCCTGGCCCTATACGGGCAGCAGCAGTCGCTGAGTGACCCAGCCCTGCTCGAGACGTCTGAGCTGTCCACAGCCGAGCGAGACGCGAATCCAGCCACGGCTAACAGGCCCATACCGAGCAAGGTGAAGAGGAACTTTTCTCTGGGTGTGGCAGGGAAGTGCTGTAACCAGGGGTGTACCAAAAATGACATCGGACGCTTGTGCTGAGGCAGGGAGGCGAGGGCGGGGGAGGGGAGGGGGGGTGAGGAGAAGAGATGGGTGATGGCAGAGGGGACGTGACGTGAAGAGGATGTGATGGGTGGTAATGTACAGGAGAGCAAGTTCATGGGTAGAGCTTTAGTTAGCTATTCCCTCATGTCTTATAGAATATACAAAACATAGTGATAACCAATTGAATTACAAAGACTCATCACGTCACTCCAATTTCATGTCTGTCATTATATTTTCTTTATTCTCCTCTCTTGTTTGATATTTTGTTTCAAAAGCCTTATGTGTACTGTATGTCAATTCTGAGAATAAATTTTAAATACTGTGTTAATATGAAATGTTGAGTAGTATCATATATTCATACATAAAAGACACTCTGCTATATGCGCTGAAAGGATTTGGAGCATTAAAGCGGCGTCCGCGTTCTCGCCTGCAGACTATCCCGATTAAACCAGGTTCATACAAGCACTGGCCAATATCGCACATTAATGTCATTTAGGCTGCCGTGAACTTATTGCTGGCCTCTGTTCACAACATTACGCCTGCCTGAACATTTTTCTGTCAACACCCTGAGGACACAACTGCCAAAGATTTTTAACCTTTTCTGGCAAAGCTAAAACATACATTTAACCTCCTGCACAAAACCCCAAAACCACATTTTGGTCTAAATGTAGAAAAAAAATTATAATAATAAAGCTTTATGAAAAGCAAGCCACAGTCAGATAAACAGTACGACAGTAAGTTTTGTTTAATAAAATTATATACACACCTGGAATATACTAAATATCCATCTTTCAATATTTACATCTATGTACACACAAATGTATTAAAGGTAGCTGCATGTTTCCATCAGATGACAAAACCAGGCTTGATGTCATTCAACTGCAACAAACCAAAAAACCCAAAATAAACATGATGGACGACCACTTCAATCCAGTTAAACATCCTTGTTTCTTTCTGAAAATCTTTGGATAAAAAAAAATTCCACCTATTTCACAGAATAATCATATTTGGTCTCAAACACTAATGCACGTACATCACAATAATAGTTGTATGAGTAAAAAAACATAACCCGTTAGGCTGCAATATTTTCCATTATAGGAATAACAGCAACTCTCTTATTCACAACAGACGCGGACATATATTATAAAAAAAAATATTCACATGGACGAGATGATCGGTATAAACTGCCTGTTGCCCAGATGTTAGGGTGTAGGAACTTACAGGCACACTATTTATAAATGAGAAAACTTTGCTCTTTACAGTGACTCATTCTTAGCTATGTTAGAGGGCATGAATCCTTTGAAATTTTGTGTGTCTGTGTTTGTATGGTCTGCCTTTTATGGCATAAAACAAACCCTGGAAAGGGGGATTTTTGAGAAGAGGGAAGTTTAAAAGACAGATGCTGTTCCACCCCCTCAAGTCTGTAACATTTGGTACATAAAGTTTTAAACATTCAAATATAAATAATCAAAAAATCCCCTTGTGGCCACTAATGATAATGTAATGCACATCATAACACATACGCATATTCAAGATACACATGTATACCTTCAAAAGGATGGAAAAATAACGACATTAACAAAAGTCAAATAAGTTTTTAAATAAAATCGTGGCTTGCAACAGTCTACTGCAGAAAATAAAAACATCTCCCTTTATCACTCTCCACCTTCAATTAAACTGTTCAACTTTCCCCATTAGCGATCTGCAGGCAGATAGTAGAGCCTTGTCACATTCAAAACATCATAAGTGTTTTATAAAATATATACAGGTGAGTAATTACAAAGACAGTATCATCATTTCAAGAGCTTAGTTCCTTCCAAAACAACAATACTGTACGAGTTCATGATATGACACTACGAGACACCCACTCTTTCTCAAAGAGATTCATGAGCAGTTATTGCTGCAATGTATTGCATTGTTTCCACATTGCATGAAGTGATGTAAACGAATAACAGGCGTTGTGTTAAGTCTGACTTCTATAGTGAGGAAAGATGTGTAGTCGTAGCGAACCAACACCACTCGATAAAAACACGGAATCATCCTTGATGTGCAATGAATATCTGTAAAGTCCACTGAGACCGCAGAAACAGAACCCGGAACCACTTGTAGACATGGTCACAACGGGTCCACCTGTATCAGACGTGCTGCTGGTGCGTTACATTTATGTTCTGTCCTTTTACCAGTCTTAAGACTCTTAGGTGGTCAACAGGAGGAACCCTGCTCAGTTCCAGTCCTTCTGAAAAGTTTGGCCACACATGAGCAGTGAAGTAACAGTCTGTTGGGAATCCCATGGCCTCTTTGGTTGAACGAAATTAGCTGCTGCTAATTTTACAACATAAAAAGAACTGCCCAACAAAATGCTGCTTGTTGGCGAGCTCTAAATTTTTTGGTACCTATATTGACATTCAACACGTTACTTAAAGTGGAGAAAATCTGTGATTATTAGAAAATTTCAATTTGTAAAACACAACTTGTGCAAATAACACAAAGAAAATAATTTAGCCCATAATAAAATATTCTTAAAGGCATCAGAAATAATCTTTTGTTTGGTGTGTGATAGATGTAGTGTACGAACTAATCAGATCATTTGTATACTTCCTGTGATGTAGAAAGAAGTGGGTAAAGAAAATTCTTCATCAGCAGGGCACCAAAGGAAAAAAAAACAATATACTGTGTACTGAACACCAGTGACTGAATCACTGCAGTAAACGCAGACGTCACAGAGACATTCATTGCTCTGTTACGATATGTGAGGACTGACTACTGGGAGCCAACACCTAAAGGTCAAAGGTTCAGGGATCAATGCCGTTCATCCGTCCAGGCTGTCACGTACGGTCTCCACGCTGTGGATTAATGTCTTGAAAGTAGGGCGCAGTCTCGGTTCACTGTTCCAGCACTCTGTCATCATCTTGTGAATCTGAAGGAAGCATCAGAACGAGAAAGTTAACACAGATAGAAGCACAGATAACACACAGATATATATAACACTGAAAATAGCTAGTTTCACAGTCATGTAACCAGCCAGGGTGGTTTAAAATATATTTTTGCATTGATAGGGTTCTCTATCTTTCTTTATGATATGACATGGTGCCCTTTATTGCTTAGGGCTAAGAATAATATTTTATTTATTCTCACTGTGTTTGCCCTGGTAGGTTTTTAACTTCCCTTTCCATTTATGCAACACATAAAACTAGTGGGGTTTTCACTTTAAACCTTAGTTGGTACATTGATGAATTTAAGAAACAAGACCTTGGTTTGTTTAATTTGACAAGTACTGTACTGAGAGACAGTTTGATGAACGTTACAGATTTACTGACCTCCTTTGGACAAGTATCAGGAGCAGGCAACCTATATCCCTGTTTCAGGAGGTCTATGAGATGGTAGACAATCATCTGGCCCTGCTTTTCATTCCCCATCTTGTCCATAAACACCTGGAACAGAAAATCAGACATTTGTGTTTGGCTTTAGTGAAAACAGCTTCCCAAAATTAAAACTGCCCCAATCAGAAGTGTTTCCTGTCCTTGAGTGCTCAATCAACTGATTTCTTTAACAACACTATAAAGTAATTATTCTGGTCATTGTTTTATGGCTCACTTACATTAGTCAGACAGTTTACAATTAAGAATAATTGAGAAATTAAATTAAAGCAATTAAACTGAAAAGTTAAATGGTCAAACTAAGAAAACGAATGAAGTGCAGTACCGCTGGTGGGCTGCAGTTCTTGTCGCTGTACGTGTAGAGTTCGTAGAGGACAACACCAAAACTCCAAACATCTGATGCCACCGAGAACTTGCTCTCTGTCAGCGACTCTGGAGCATACCTGGAAATACCACAACACATTATGCATATAGTAGATAACGTAATGATGCACACATTTTCAAAGGGTCAACACAAATCTTACATTACAAGAAGACTGATATGAAATATAAAGTAAGTGCACACAGTCTCGATATACAAAAACAAACCATATTTTCCTCCTTGTGTTTATTTTGATACCGGTGGTTAAAGATCAGTCACAAAGGGTTACTATACTTACCACAACTGTAGATAAGATAGTCAAAAACATCTTCAAAGACTCTGCTCTTTATCTTTCTGGAAGTCTAAAAATAGGAAAATATTGCACATATCAGGAGCATGTGTCTTCCTCACCAAAAGATGGGGCTTTCTCCGGGCTCTCTGACAGTGTAGTAGTCCTTGCCCTGCGGCAAAACCTTGGTCAGGCCAAAGTCACCGATTTTCACCCTCATCTCGCTCTCCACCAGAATGTTTCGGGTGGCCAGGTCTCTGTGGATGTATCGCTTGAGGGCAAGGTAGTCCATACCCTGAAGTATAAATATAGACACACAGAAAAAAGAAAATATCACACATATACTCATTTACATACCAACACACATATATATATACACATATTTATTGGTTTCCCACCCATAATCCTCTCTTAATCGCCTAACCTCGAGCCACTGTATTCTTCAAAACTAAATACAGCAAAAATCAACAAACCTCTAAACATAATATTGCTCAGTGCTGTACAGGTGGCAGCCTCTGTAGCTGGCAAATGAATCCAACACAGTTTTAAAAAATTGCAGTTCCTCAAATGGCTGAGGCCAACGACAGCAGTGAATGGTCTCCATAAGGCCCCATATTAAAATGCCCAACCTTACAGCAGAAATAAACACATTCACAACCTGGTACAAAAATGTTGCCTGAAATGATGGACCCCCCTTTGTGATTTCCTAAATCTCCCTATCCACTCTGATCCAGCGGTCGACTTTAGTGGCATCAGATACAGCAAAAGACAAAGATCCAAGGCTGGATTTTAACCATTGACTGCTTATCTTTTACATGCTAGTTACGTTGGACTGCAGCTCCTGAAACAAATATTTCAAATGTTCAGTACACCAATGTGTATGTACTGTAAGCCAAGGAGGGGTTAGTCTTTAAAGGCTGCACCACCTACTGCACTACATTACCTTGCAAATCTGTGATGCGTAGTGTAGCAGTTTCTTGGAATCAAAATGGTCTTTGTGTTTGATGAGGTAATCTCTCAAGCTGCCGTAGGGGAGATATTCCATTATCAGCCGTAGGTTCCTTCGTCCTGCAGAAAGACGGACGTTAAGTGTGACGCTTAAGAGAGAAAGCAGGACGTGTGAGCAGCAGAGGGGAAGCCTCGCCTCGAGCTGGCACTGCTCAGAAAATCTAGATTTATTTGTTTTATGAGCATGGTCATTGACGCTCTAGGCACCAAATGTGGGAACTGTAAAGACATTATTATGTATAACAAAATCAACCTGGTTGGTAATATCAAATGAAGGAACAGTTGTAGGCTGAACAAGCTGGTCGGGGAACATTTGCTCTGTCACTGGAGTGAAAAAAAACAATGAACTCCTACTAGATTTCACTTCAGAATCAAGATTTATCAGGCAAATAATGTGCTTTATCTAAATATGCCAACAAAGAAAAGGAGATACGTGTATGCTCATATCTTTTGCACTTTATGATCTACTCTTGGTTTGGAATCCAACTTCTATACGTGTGAGGAAGTGAGGACAGGCACCAGAATGAATAATCACACCCTTTATTGTGATGTTTTGACCATTTCATATTGCATGTATTATAGATATGAAACAATGTACTCATACCTGCACTATAGCAGACTCCTTTGTATTTGACAATGTTTTCATGTTGGAGGGATTTGAGGATCTCAATTTCCCGCTCAAAGTCTCGGAGGTGCTCGGCTGTGCTGTGCTGTAGTTTCTTCACGGCCACCACCTCCCCTGTGCTGTCCTGTAGGGGGTCGTACCTGCACATCTCCACGCTACCGAAGTTTCCCTGCAGCGTGGGGTCCGAGGGAGAGCATATTTGAGAGGTGTAAAAGCAACAGCCTTGATTTTAATGTTGCAAAAGATCAGCTGGTGCATTCCAGTTAACTTGGATGGAATCAGATGCGTAATCACAAGAAGAATTAGTTGTGACAGAAAACAATCATCTTCAGAGAAAAATGGAAAATAAGATTACTTCAGGAATTGCTGGCCATGCCTTTGTGCTGTCCATAAATTATCATTAAAATATCTGTGATCACAGTGGAAACTGCAGAGTGTGGGTTGAATGTTGGCTTTGTCTATCATAATTTTAACGAAAGCTTAACGTCACCCATTTAGCACATAAAGACTGACTGAAGATTTTGCTGTTTTATCCAGCTTTTACAGTGAAATTCTAATAGATAAAGATCATAAATGATTAAAAACATGCACACTTAAAGACATTATCCAACACTTTAAAGGAGAGGAAAGAAAATTCCTAGTAAAATATAATATCGTGCATGTGTGTGTGCACGCATGTCTCACTTTGCCCAGCTGCTTGAGAAAGATGAGGTGCCTCTCCTCAAACTGGGCGGGCTCCTGGCCCTCGGAGGCCCATGGGAAGCCGGACCCTCGTGTCCTGTTGGGCACCATATCGCTCTCCACCAGCAGCTCATAGTCTGCAACACAAGGTGCAAAGTTATTTTATAAAAACTCTTAATAAAACTCGACATGACGATCAGTCTGTCAGATGTGAACGTAATAGGTGACTTTTTCCTTCCTACCGGGTGTGAAGAGGCTGTTGAGATCTCTGATAATTGCTCTGAAGGAGGGTCGGTGTGAGGGCTCATAGTCCATACAGCTATTGATCAGATTGGCCAGCTCTGTCCATTTAGGGGCTGGCAGCTGGTGCCTGTCTTCATAAAACAAGATCTTCTGCAGGGGAAAAAAGCAGAAGTCAGTTTTAAACAGAGTTGGACAGCAGTACATCAATAGAATATGTTATCAATAACTGTATAGTATACTGGAAAAGTTTGTCATTTTTATTATTATATAGTTTTTTCGCTTCTTGCCATGGGTTAGATTAGGAGATCGCTATCATCTACTACATGTTTGTACAGTAAATATGAAGCTAGTAATCTTAGCTTAGCATAATGACTGAAAACAGGCAGAAACAGCTAGCCTGGCTCTGTCCAAAAGAAAAAAGATCCATCTACCAGCACCTATAAGGCTCACAAATGAACATGTGGTATCTTGTTTGTGTAATTTGTACAGTAAAAAGGACACTTGAACATTTTTTTGCCGGGAGCAGTGACTTCCTGATAGTCAGTGAGGCCAGGTGACCAGCAGCAACATTTCCCAACATGTCCAACTATTCCTTTAGCACAGATCATTCTCACTGAGTCAATATTCTCAGTGCATCCTCTGTTTTTGTCACCTTGGAGCAGTCCAGGGTGCTGAGTGGTTTGTCTCCGCCACTGCAGATCTCCCAAAGGGTGGTCCCAAAGCCCCACTTGTCTGTTGCTAAACTCAGGTTCTGGGGGTTTTCAATGCACTCGGGGGGCACCCACGGGATACGCTCCACTAGAACTGATGGACGAACATGAGGAGACACAGGAGCACAGAGAGAAGGACATATGTGAAATGGAATAGAAGGTAGAGACGGACAGCAAGGATGGAGAAAAGGACAAAGAAACCACACTGAGACAATCACACCAAAGCAAGACTATGTTGAACATGATTCCAACATGGCATACATGTGAGATACAAGTCTTCTCACATCACGACAGTACATGTATCTCACCTTCTCTGGGCAGCACGATGATACTGATACCCGGGTCACTGAGTTTGATAAAGGGCAGGCTGCCCGTCGCCCGATCCTCCTCTCTGATCAAAAGAACATTCTTGGCACAAACATTTCCATGAATGAGGCTCTTATCCTCCTGTGTGCAGATTTGGCAGGGACAGCATAAATCACCTTGGTGTTAGCGAATAACTAAAATGTGTTCCAGGATAAAAGATGAAATGCTAGTTTTATTTACTAATATGTAAATAAGGTATTATGTCTTACCAGGTAGTGCATAGCCCAGGATAGCTGCTTGGCCACTTCTAGCTTCCAGGTGATGTTAACGCAGCTTTTATTCTTCTTCAGGTAAGTGTCCAGTGAACCAAATTTACCATACTCCTGCACCATCATGTCTGACAGGGAGATGAGAGGGAGATCCTTTTATTAGCCACACGCAACCAAACCAAACTTCCAATTAAAACTCTGATTTAACCAGGTTGTGGTGTTCTGTGGCTTCTTCTGTCACACTTTGACACACTTTGACAGTAGTTAGAGACAAAGAGAGGTTGTTGACACATGATAGAACACTTTATCCCCCATCCATTTCTTCTGAACTATTTGGCCTGATTTCAAGAATGGGACACCCTGATAAGTAATCACAACACATTGCTACGAATCAGTACTTTCCTTTACTATTATCTCTGTTTTTTTTCCTGCCTGTTACTTCCTGCCACTGTCCTGCCAAAATGTGAAAAGTTTCCTGAAACACTGCTCTGATGTGTGTGGGCAGTTTCAGGTAGAGTAAAGATCAAGACTTCCGTTGCCCATTAGTGACTAGTTGATCCTGGGGGCTTTATCCAGTCAGAACAGAAGGGTCAGGGCATGATGTGGAGCAGGTCAGCAGGTCAGAAACCCTATTTTCTCTGATTGGCTCCATTGCCGATTGATGTCACCAAAAAGTGTGAAAGCTCTCTCATTCAGGAGGACAACAGCCTCCTTGCCTTTCTTTGTATTCTATGATTCACACATACTGGTCTGTCTTGTTCTCAATATCTCTCTCATTAACACATAAGATCCTAAACCGCTCCTCTTTATACGGTGGTCAGGATAACCACAACTATTCCTTCCTTTGACCATCTCTGTAGTGTGTGTGTGTGTGTGTTTTGTATACTTACTTTCATCACTACAAACACACACGCCATAGTTGAGAAGTATGTGCTTGTGGGAAAGCTGGCTCATCATACTGGCTGCTTCAAAGAACGACTACGAGGAAGAAAATGAGACAATAGATTATTAACATGTCTCCTCACAACCTAAAAAACAAAACTGATTAAATGTTCATTTAATTTGAGTCAACAAGCCAACCTCTGAATAGTTGCGGTGAGCCTTGTCCAGGATCTTGATAACGACGTCTATCTGGTGTATCTCTCCATAGTCCCCCAGCTCCTTTCTCACACCGCAGAAGATCTTGGTGAACGTTCCTTGACCCAGACTCTCATTCTAAAACACAACGGTTTTATTGTTAAATTGTAAATCCTACTTCAAAAAAAGAGGTAGAGTGCAGAATCTCCACTGTCTCTGAGTCAAAGACAAATCCCTGATCAATTCCCTCTACCCTTAAAGTTACTGTAATCCTCCTTCTTAAATGTATTATTTATTATTGGGCACAGTACATGTGTCAGTACAGGCCAACATATTTTGTCATCTAAAAAAAAAAGTGACGTGCCAAATAAAAGCCTATGGATGGATACACATCAAAGCTCAAGCCATTGTATCACGCAGCATCAATCGAAGCAAAACTGTTGTGGATTGGATGATGAAAAAATCGAATTCAACTGTCGTGTACATCTCACAATGTCATGTCAAAACTCAGAGGGAGCTGCAAGGAGAAGTAGAAAAAAAATCAACCAGGCAGTTAATGCCAATAACCCCAAAAGATAAGTTTCTGACAGGATCTCTAAAGCTCTTAAATAAATGCACAACAGAGCTGAAGATCAGTTCAAAACAAGAAGACGAGTCTGCTAAGGGATGAGACAATATCGCAATAGAGAAAAAACCCTGAGCTTCTGATTAGTGGAACGGCTTCTGTGGTATTCCCGTGACAGACCTGTTGTACCAAACTTTTCAGTTCTCAAATAACATGGTGAGACAGAAATGGACCAGTCTCCAAGATGACAGTGTGGCTGACACACTATCACACAAAACATACACGTCCACAGTGACTGCTATTGACACTGGGCTAAAGAAGATGGATCAGGTGAGGAAGTCTTTTTGTTAACTGTGGCAATCTCACTGACCCCGCAGGAGTCATGACTCATCAGTATGTTTTACATTCATTGCTATTTCACAACTATAAAGACAATGGGGTGTCCATTGTCTTTATAATTGCTAAATAACAATGAACTTACAAACTCATTGATATTGATATTGTTGTAAGCTTCCACAAGTACATGTATGAGCAAGAAACAATGCATCTAATCATATACACTAATACAACATACTAAGACTGAAGAACTGGCCTAGTTATAAATGACCTTAAGCAAGAAGTTAAAGAGGTTCATCTTACGATGACGAGGTCCTCTTTTCTGGATCTTGTGGAAGACCATCTGGCTGATGTTGTGCTTGAGGAGCGAGGGAGACAGTGGGACCCCGGCCCCTTGATTATTCCTACACACCAGCAGGTTGGATTTATCTGAAGATAAAGGTGGAGAGGGATTAGGATCCATTAAACTCACATTTGGACACCTGATGATCACTGCGGTAGGGGTAATTGTATTTCAATTTGTGATGTGATTAGATTGTTTAATTTAGTATTCAGCATGAATAAAAGCCTATTTGGTTTAGATTTCTGGCCCTCAGACACTTTGCTCGGAAACAAGAGTTTTGCCAGCCAGAAACCTGAAATAATAACTGAATCATTGATAGTTGTTAGCAACTCCCCACAGAGGTATAAAGATCATGTCGTGCTGTGGGGGATTAATAATCGTACCTTCAGTCCATTTAAAGCCCATGTTTAAAAATGATGATGGAAGTTGCACCATCATGTAAAATGCTGAAGTTCAAGGTTTATTTTAGAGAAGACGAGTCTGTATTCTTCATTGGCTTAAATACAACTTGAGTGCAAAAATGTTCCTGACTCAAAAAAATGAGGCATCTGATATAAACAGAAGCTTGAAGAAGGGTAATTGGCTATAGCAGAGAGATCTGGGAAAGTAGGAAAATAGGAAGATCACAACAGTGTCAAAGACCCTTGTAAGGAATACTGTAGGCTCTAAACAAGGGGTAATGGGTTGCCTATTTATTTATTTATTTATTTAATTGTTTATTTACTTCTTTTATAGAGTAACAAAACAATTAACAGACTTAATTCCAAAATAGATCCCACAAAGTCTGCATTTAACTGTATATGTCTTCTTTTACCTGGTTTAATATGTGTGTGGGCATATATAGTCTTATCAGTATATGTTTGTATGTGACCACTGACCTTTCAGGGTGGGTGGGCAGCACCTGGTCAGCTGGAACGTGTATCCATCAGTGCGGAGCGCCTCCTTTTGGTAGCAGTGCAGAAGTTCCCTGAGTGAGCCGAAGCTCTTCTTAGCACCACTCAGAATGTACTGTCCTGACTCCGTCTTCAAGATCTGACAGTGCTTATACACCACCATAGTTTCACACTGAAAATCAAAAGAAAAATGTTTACAGTTAAGCTGTGAATATAATAACAATATAATTTCAAGACACTACAAAGGACACTCCCTGATAAGAGCACATAAGACAAGACAATTCAATCTCATGGCTCCCTCCAGTGGATAAAAATATGGGCAATATATTATGACCTTACTGACTTTTAGCTAACCCGAGAACCAACCTGGAAAAAGCCACTTAGTTAAATGTAGTGATGCACTGTGATACCAAAGCACTACATTGTATTTACATTACAGCCGAATGGTTGTATCAGCCAGCGGAAGAGACAATCTGGTAGTCTGTATGTAGTCCGTGTCTGAAGAGGCCAGTTAGTAATGTCTATCAATTAGCAAAGATTGTGCTGAATGAGCCTATTTGTTAAGATACATGTGAGAAGTACAGTACTTTACATTGAAGATGCCCCAACAGTAACAGCTTACCCCCACCACAAAGGACATGAAGTATTTGTCGTAGTCCCTGGGGCTGCAGCGAAGGATGTATAGGCCTTGGTGGTTACCAGAGCGACGCAGCTTACCAATCGTAAACTCCATCCTGTGAACAAAGAGACAGAATGTGTCTTTGAGAGTGTGTGTGTGTGTGTGTGTGTGAGTGTGTGTAGTTCTGGGGTTGGTGGTACACAAGTACCTGTGTGCATATGTGTGATACTCACGACACAGGGCCATGGCAGTAGCTCTGAATGCACTCCAGAAGTCTTGGCGGAGCTACTTCTTTACACAGGTAATGATGGGCATCTGCAACCAGTCTGTAATAGCCATCAACTAATGACACGAATGACAAAGCCTCTGAGAGCGAATGAAACTCCAGTTCCTTTGTGGTCAGACACAGAGAATAGAGAGGGGATGCAGAAGAGGACAAAAATAAGTTTGTCAGTGTCTATTTTGAACTTTAAACTATTGTAAACAAGAAGCCTTCAATCCATATGTTTATGCATTTTAGTGTGTCTAATATTGCTTCTTGTTTCTTGAATCCAGCTGTGATAAGCCAATTGAGCACTTGGCTTTGACAAGAAGCATGTGTTCATTTAAACACATTCCTGGCATCAGTAAAGCAGATTCCAGCGGAGTAGAGGTTTGGTTCACAGACTGTAGTGGATTAGAATAATTGGAATAAAGTAAACAAAAATGTGTACTATACCAGGATCTGGTTGTCCTGTCTGGTTAGGGTAACTATGCGACTCTCCACGGAGCCTTCCTTATTGGCCTGTTTGATGCTGATGTCAATCACTTCTGGGAAGTCACAGTATGTCTGAAGCTCCTGGAGACACAAAAAGAGTACATTTGTATTGATGAAGAAGCATGCACACACAGGGATTCTTGTCGTTATTGGTGATTTTAACCAACTACTCGAGCTCCATCTATTGGTAAAAACAAAACACCAGAGTATCACACTGTGGCAGTCTGCTGTACAAATGTGTTACCAAGGCAACATGAACCTATCTCTTGGTCCTCACCTCCTCTGCTCCCTCCTCCTCTTTCCCTTTTGACCACTGGATTCCCTTGTTGCCCATGACAACGATGGAAACCTCGCGTGCAGACAGGTCAGTAACTTGGAAGCGTTCAGAGTAGAGTGAGGGTAGCAGCATCTCCAGGCTCATCAGGTATTTGAGCTTGAGGTTACACACCGTGGCCTTGCATTCACCAAACTGCTGGATGAATTTCTTGAAGCGATAGCGTATCCTCTTCCGAGTCAAGATGTTATATTCCTGGATGCGGCTTCGCATGCATTTGGGCAGGAAGGATTTGTAGCTGAAAGCAGGGAGAGGTGGTTGGGTGAAGATGGAGTTGAGAATAACAAAAAGAGGAGAGAATGAATAATTGATAACAGGAAAGAGAAATAGAGAAGGGATGGGCGTGGTAAAAAGGAAACTGGGTTAAAAGAGCAAATGCTCTGCAGGGTTTGTGTCAGTTCAGGTAGGGTACAAGTTGTGTTCAGCTCAAGAGGATCATCACAAAATGTAATACAAATGTTAAGATCATGAAACTAAAATACAGACAAACAATAATGATGAATAAGATATGAAAGATAAATTATAGGAGAATTAACATTTCATGTGTGGATACAGTGCATACAGATATTGTAAACACCTTTTCAACTGAAACATTACCTCATATACAGATAATTCATTCAGCTGCATGAATACACATAATGAAACTATCTTGACGTTTACTGTGTTCTGAGGAGCCTGTCTGAAATTGTTATTCATGAGCTGTACCATATGCACACCAGCAGAACAGCAAGCATTTTGCATTATTCAGGTGGGAAATGGCATAAGGAAATAAAATTAAATTATCTGAAATGTAATCTACACTACAAAGAGTTCAGTGTTTTATTTTCCTTATTGTGTCACCTTGAGTGAGTGAGTGCATCCTACCTGGTACCATTGCAGATTCTGACAGGTGACTGACCACTTTCTTTGGCGAGCCTCATCATGTCAAGCACCGCCATGCCCAGACATTCCTCCTGGGCCTCATGGCTCACTGGAATATTAACCCAGCCATTCAGAAAGTCACTTCGCCACTGGATGAGGGAAAAAAAACACAACAGGCAAAGATGTCAAATTGCATGGGTGCTATCAGATCTGTGAAGGACAGAAGTAGAAAAATAAAATGAGACGGGGGAGGGGGGGGGAGAGAGGGTAAACAGATGCCAGAAGTCTTACTAAGAGCACAGTTGCCTTAATTCACATGTCTGAACATGAGTCTAAATATACAGTTTGAGGCTAAACATTTATTCAAGTGTGAGTTATTAAATAGAAACACGCATTAAAGAGTTTGTTTTAGGTTTTACGCTATGGAATGTAAAAATGTATTTTACAAAAATTATTTTTTTTAAAGTGTATTTTAAAGGGTAAACTTCAAGTCATCATTACTTAAACTGTTGGGACTGTACAAGTCAAGCTCTACAACAGCAGGCGTCTGTATGTAACAATCATTGAGAAGGTCAATCTGTTGACAAGCAGCTTGTGGTGTCAATGTGGCAGTGGAGATGAAAACAAAGCTGACTGGAGCTGCATGTGTCAAGCTCACACAAGCATGTGGGAAGAAAAAAAAGCAGAAACTATTTAAAAACACACACACACACACACACACACACACACACACACACACACACACACACACACACACACACACACACACAAACACAAAGTCAAAAGAACCCTGACATACCCTTGTTCCCCATTTGCACTTCTCAAACACTTACTACCCCACATCCTGGTTTCTCAACTTACATAAGGCTGACATGACAGACAGACAGTGAGTCAGAAAGCGAAGAAAACAACCATATTTCACCTACCCCCCAACCACCCAACAGTTCTGCTTATCATATTTTAAAAAAGCAAAGCCGGAAAGAGAAAGGGTGGGACAGAGATGACAAAGGCGTCTTGACGACACAGTCCTCTGGTTCACATCCCATTTAAGGCAAACTATAAATGATCCAGACTAAGAATCATTTAATTTTTCATAAACATGAATACAAATAAATAAATAAATGTAAAATGCCAACACACAAAGTACCTTATACAGAAGAAAATATACATTTTATGTTGATATGAGTCATAAACATTAACCTGAAAGAATTGGTATGCCATGACACAATCATCCATCACAGGGCTCTCCATCCCCTTGGACATGCCGTAGCGATGGGCATACAATGAACTGCTGTTGTTCTGCCAGCCAGGAAAATAGTATCTGGACAGAAAAAGGGGATCAGAGAAGACCCAATTAAAAAAGGAATCCAAGCATAAAACAACACATGAAAAGTGTAAAACTGAGAGAAAAGACAAAAATATCTACCTGATTCTGAAGTGCAGGCTCTCACTGGCTGGCTGGTGCACTTTAAAAACGTGATTAGGAGGGAACCATATCCGGTCACTTTCCCTCATCAGGCCAAATAAGCTGCAGTACACTGGAGAAACCCCTGGAAAGAGAAAGAAAACATGTCAGATACACTAAATCTCACCAAAACTCACTGTACTTTATGGGTGAATGGACTGAACTTGCTTCCACAATAACGGTTGAAGAGTTCAGGGAGAAGGTCAGCAAATTTTTCCATTTGGTCAGATTCACTTTTCAACTCTGTCTGACACGTACAGTGTGTAACGTTAAACTCATAATTTAAACTGAGGAAGCCAACTGACACATGTTTGATACTCAAGCCTGGAATAAAGACCAACCTTTTAGAGCTTTAACAGCACATATTTCTATTTAATATGGGAGTAGCTGCCAGTAAAGAACAAGACAGACACACACACACACACACACACACACACACACACACACACACACACAGCTTGTGTTGTGGTAGAACTCTGTACACTGCAAACAATTCTGCGACTGCTTTGACAATGATATATGATGACAACTACATAACTCTCTCAGCAGTGTATTTCAGGGGATTTAGGAGTTACTTGTGTTGATTCAATGAAAACAACAATTACACCCCCAGCTTCCCTGCTGCTCAAAGAGTGGTTAACAACTTGAAAACAGAAGTTCCCATGGATTGTTTCTATTTTTTGTTTGCCTGTTTGCCAGGAGTGTTGTTCAAAATGTTCACGACTTTAGTTTAGGATGAAGAATGATGATGGTGCACAGAGGCTATCAACCTTGGCATTGATGGCTGTTACCACGTTATCTGACAATAACAGCCTACTACAGGAACATTTAATTCAGAATTTTGACATTTTGACATATTCCCATATGTCTGTGTCTGTGTTTTTTTGTTTCTGACCATTCCCACAACTTCTCATTTTGTCTTCAAAACAGTAGTGGCTGAAGTGGGTCATTAGAAGACAGAAAATGTCATCACACAGCAGGAAGCACTCACAGGAGTGAAGCAATAGTATGAGGGTGCATAAGAGGAAGTATGCTTAACCACAACAGGGGAAGTGAAGTTAAAGTACAAAGGCTGATCTGTAAGCAACTCCTACTTTGTATTAATTATTATTATTCTTAAAAAATTAAAAAGCAATGCACTGCAGAGTAAATTACTGTAATTACACACCGTAGGAGCTGGGATGCATTCTATGTTATACAGCTAGGTCTGACTGCTGGGAATGTGAATATGTTTGACTTCAACCTGGTGGTGATTTGACATCCCGACCTATTCCCTTGCTTTAGCAAATCTAACTTTAATGCTTCTTGTACCCTTGGACTGCAAACTTATGTATCCTAATATCCTATTATGAAACCAACTCAAACTTTAAGTGTAAAGGCTAACCAGACAGACATAGCACATCACTCACATGAATGTTATTTAACTGCTGTTAAACCATGAAAGGGGAAAAGGCAAATGAAGGAGGAAGGCCAAAGTAAAGTCTGAGAACAAAGGAACCTGAAAACTAAAAAAGAAAACAAAAGCAAGTGGACAAGTGAAAAAGGGGAAGATAAAAAGGAGAAAGAGAGAGGTTGTTTCTTATCTGCCCAAGACAGAATGGAGCAAGAGAGTGTGGCAGGGACAGATAGAGTTAAGGCGGAGAGGAAAACAGCCACAACAGTCGACAACTTCCTGATTTTAGTTTGCTTGAAAGAAAAGCCCTGGTAAAAGGCTAGTCTGAACACGATAGTACCGTAGTTTCCGAAAAATAAACACTGAATCGGCTCTGATGAAGTGCCTCCAGGAAATTCTAAAGAAATAAAGTTGGATAAATTTGCTCTCTCTAATAATTAAAGAGGACACCAGGAGAAATGACTGATGGTGACTGATTCATCAGGAGGATTTGCATCTTCACAGGGATTCATCCCAATCACCACCCAATAGTAGAACTAAAGAAGCCATGAAAATAAACACTAAATGTTCTTAAACTTCAGTCAACCTGTCTCAGTACAGCTCAGAGCCATAAACTGTACTGCCCCTACATGACTACTGGCTCAAAGCATTTTCCAACTGTACTGAAGTGAACGACAAAAGATTCAGCTTTTCTCTATACAGATAGGAAACAGCATGAAATTTCCCAATAAGGCGTTGGGCCAACAGCTTGGCATAGATAATTCAAGCCTCTGAACACTACCAGAGAGCTGAACAACATTCTTCCAAAAGACATTCCCTCATTTGGTATTGAGAGGGATGAAGATAGTCAAGCTTTTCCCATGTTGACACACATCTGACAGATATTTCATCGATCAATATTTATTCATTACCTACATCAGAAATGTGACATCTTGTCCTTGTTCTGGGCAGAGTATGGTTAGTATGAGTATTTGTTGAAGGGAAACGTAATAACCTTAAGTTCTAACTCAGTCAGGGCTCCAGACTAACTTTTTGCATTGGTTGCACTGGTGCGCCTAACTTTTTTTTTTTTTTGGTGCACCAGCACAAAATTTAGGTGCACCCAAATTTTTCATTGCGTCGCCTTTAACGCCATAAGGTCACCTTTTATCGCTCTCCATAACTTTTATATAATGTGAACGATTTTTAAACAAGAATAAGGTGTAAAGAAATGCTTGTCTTTATTTGAAGCACAATTATATATAAAAAGAAAAATAAAGTGTTTAAAGTGCTTCACTGAGCTGAAATTGAACATTTCAAACTAAAACACTAAGCAAAATAAAACATTTCCAAATAAAAGAGGACCTGATTACTACTACCTGCCGCTGAAATGCAGCTGGGAGAGGGGCCACTTTCTCTACACACTTGTCACGGCATATCGTGTGTTTTTTAGACATGTTGTGTTTTTTTTAAGTTTCGATACGAAACGTTGTTGACCCGCTCACGAATGCACTATTTCCGGCCATATTCTGACAGTACACGCAGTGCATTGCGTTGCGTCCTTTGTTGTACCTCAGCCAGGGAAATTGTTTCAGCCAGTTCTGTCTGAAGGAATATATTGTGGCCTTTTTAATTTGGGTCTCGGAGCCGGGCTCTATCCCAGACTCGGTGGTCTCCTCCTCTGGTTCCGAGTCTGATGCTGTCGCCGAAGGACCGGGTCTCGGCAATTTTTAAACACACGCGACTAAGCGCGGTGAACAGGACCACAGCCAATCAGAGGCAAAGACCCGCCCGAGCTCTGTCTCTCATTGGTTTAGATCGCGATATGATCCTACCATGAGTGTGTGAGTTCGGTCACAGGAGAACAGAGAGATGATGCGCTTGCGAAATAAATGTATGTTTCCACCCGGGCAGCGTCAGGTGCACCAGTGCGACCTAGAAAAATGATTAGTCGCACTCTGTCAGTCCTAGCCAGGTTCCCCACTCTTTGACCAAGGTGGCAGCATCTATGACACTTAAACACAAGCTTCACACTATTTGCATTTATGGTCCAGTCTACGATCCACACAAGTAGCAAGGCTTTTAAAAGCAGTTGCATATACATAAGACTTAATGCCTTTCTGTTCTTACTTCTACATGTATTTATGTTTCAATTTGATACTTAGTGTGACTGCATGTTCAGCACAACAAAAATGGTAGTGGGAATGTGCCTTTCATTTCCAGTGTTTGTGTATAATGAAAAGTAAGTAAGATTACTGTTTGAGACTATTTAGTCAAACAATGTTTATATAGCCTGAACCATTCAGAGTTAGAGTGATTTCTCAGCGATACAACACAAATAAAAGCAGAAGTTCACGATGTTGTAGAAACAACCAGATATGTGGTGATAAAAACAAGGACAAGGACTAAACAGTGAACTATTCAAGGTTTTGAACACAAATTGTTCAAATGCTACATGGTGAATCAACAGCCTGTTAAACAGTACAATACAATACATTGCTCAACAGATAAACTTTTTTATGAATAAATTAAACTATATTTTGTGTGTGTTGCAGACATCAGAACTGAAATACTTTTGTGACTCACCACACGCTGTCGCTGCACTGATGCACAGTTCCTCTGCTACGTACTCCCCGGGTGGAAAAGTGAGGACACTTTCTGAACCGTTGGCCCCACCGCCTCCTCCATCCTTCCCTACGTGGTAAAGGTGGACAGTGAGGCAGGTGGCTTCCTTGTCCTGCTTGGGGTCGAGTCCGGTGACTGGCTCGAGGTCAGAGAGGAGGCCATTGCGGTTTGCTGTGGGACCAGAGGTGGGTGGGTCCATGTCTGTCAGCAGAATACAGGCCATGTGCTGTTTAAAACGAACATCAACCTGTCAAGGCACGAAACAATAAGACACAGGTAAGAATGAGAGTGAGCAGAAAAGTTTAGAATATACTGTAGTTCTTGGACCATCCACAGCTTTCTGGCTGACTTGACAAGTTACTAGAGTCTACAACCATGTTAGCGCTCTATGAAGCTGTACTTAGGCACAGCAATGCTTTAAGATTAATGTGAACAGCAGCATACCAACATGCTCATATTGTAACATGCACTAGCACGGCAACATTAGCTAATTAGCACTAAACACATAGTATACCAGAGGCTGATGGAAGTGGTAAGGAGTGAGCTGTGGTACATGAGGCTTGCTCTACCAGGTGAGCTACCAGGGCACCCTTTGAAAACTCTTATTCGATTCAGAGGGTCTGAAAAAAACAAATTGGTCTTCATTTTTCTGTGTGAGATAGCAGACAGATTTTCAAGTGGTTGGAATAACTTGATGTCATGTCACACTATGTTTACTTAAATCCACTAGTGTTCATAATAAGATTAAAATGCCTAATGTAAACACCTTAATCACAGTAAAAGAGGGTGATTTTCATATACATTTCATTCCTTTCCCAGAAGCGCCAGGTTAAAGGATGAGATTTTTTCTCTTTATCATAATACCTTCATCTACTATTCTTGGAGTATATGTTTTCTTGTGTATGCTCCCTAATACCGAAATAAAGGTTCCTTAAAAGAATTATATTTTGTGAAATTCAAATAAAAATGCAGAGAGAAGAGGTGAATATGGTGAGATTTTAGAGGCAAAATTAAGATTATAAACCACAGCTGGAATACACTGAGAAGACCCTAAAGTGAGTTACAGCAGATGTAGGTAGTGGTAAGTGAGTCATATTTCATCATTAATGTTTATACTGAGCATTGTAGGCTGTATCTTGGCTAAGGCAGCTTTGCTTGCAGACGTCTCTATAAAACAAATTATGGCTGCATGATACTGTAAAAACTCCTTTTGCAAAATTCTTTGTATTTAAATCTGGAGTAGTTTAAGAGTAACGCTTGGACAGAACAGCACATTTATTCCTGACCAGGAGACCACAGCCATTTGGAACAGTGGCTGTTTCAGATGCTTGAGATGCTACTGTATCTCTCTCTATAGGCATAAACTGTTAGCGGACACGAAATTTGCATTACTTATCATCAATTGCGTTTATGGTTGCTTATCAGAACACATAATTACTTATCACAAGACTGCAGAGCAGTATACACAGTGCCCTAGATTTCTCTCAGCAGTTCTAGTTTGTAAACGATACACTAAATGCATTTCTGCACACAGAACAAATTTTGGTACTTTCTCTATACAAAGTTTCTAATATTTTGTCATTATCTGTCAACCAATGAAAATGTATTGTGTTTAATCCGACTGATATTTTTAATATACATTCTGTAGAACTGTTTAAGTATATCAGTTAAGTAATATTTGACAAATTATATGTTTATTGGCCATGCTAGCAGAATATCTCAACGTTTTATGGATCTGGTACAGTCATCCATATTGAGCAGAGAATGAAGCCTGCTGACTTTGGTGATCCCCTGACCTTTACTTACGCCACCAGCAGGTTGTCATTTGTGGTTTTGAGTAAAATGTCCTGATGCCCTGACATTTGAGATTGCACATATTCATGACTAAAATGAAATGCAAAAACTTGATGATGATGATGATGATGATGATGATGATAAGTTGGATGATCCCCTGACTTTTCATCTAGTGCTATGATTAGATCAGCATTCATCATCATCATCATCAATTCCTCCAATACTTTGGTTTATAACTAAATACTTGCAACATTTTCATTAGCCTCAGCTGTACTGTGTTTAGCATGCTAACACAGAAAGCTAAGATGGTAAAATATTATACCAGCTTAGCATTAGCATGTGTGCATTGTGAGTATGTTAGCATGCTGATATTAGCATTCAGTACAGTCTCACAGAGCCACTACCATGGCTACAGACTGTTAGTCTTGTTTTATTACTATTCTGTAAGCCACAGAGCTTTATCGTCCTATTATGCTTCAATATCCCTATATGGTATCAATGAAAGTCATTTGGCATATGTTGACATGTTAATAGTATTTTCACTACCATTTAACTATCTAATTCTATTTATGATAATGTCAATAATGTCATTTTATGAACTTGTTATTATAATATTTGTATCCTTATATTTTATCACAGCTTAAAGTTGATTTTTGCTTTTTTCTGACTGTTTTATCCTCCTTGATAATATTTTATTTGGCTATGGCAACAGTTCACTGTCATCAAATGTAATTAATTGCCCTGAGAGAGTAATGCCATTGTTGATGACAATCTTTGAAATCTAATTTTGCTGTTCAGCACTGCATTGTAAAGAGGGAACACACTGTAAATGAAAACATAACGTGGATAGACCATTACTGTTTTCAAGTCAGACATTGAAACTCACTCCTCTAGTACATGACTCTGCATTGGTGATAGACCGATTAATCGGTTGGACAATTAATCCAGCCGATTATTTGGCATTTTGAGATAATTGGCATCAGCCGGTGTCTGTGCTCAGGAGGCCGATCAACAAAAAATTCTTCAGACACATCAGCAGGCAGTCTCGTCAGTGTGGCTGCTGTGGACCGATGTTAGCAGTCCCTCTTGTGAGTTTTGAGAATATCAAGGTTGGTCTCGAGCCCTGTACTATAACTCTAATACATCCTGCTGTAAACATATACATGAATCCCGTATAAAACAGAATAGAATAGAATTATACATGACTTCTCTTTGTTTTGATATAGGCATTATATATCGGCCATCCACAGCCCTGCTCTCTAAATATCAGCATTAGCCATTGAAAAAATGATATATCGGTCGACCACTACTCTGCACTGTATTTGATTACAGGCTTGCTTTCCAATATTTCATTATGTTTTGCCTTGTTACAGACACACAGACATGTCATTTCCATGTAAATATGACACAAGCTGTGTGTGTAAGGTTGAGATGGCTTATAGATATTGAAGAAAAATTAATAATACAGTATTTTTAATCTATTTTTGGAGATAGATATTGACAAGACTAACTTCACTACACCAGTAACACGCCCCACCCACTGAAAAGCTCCAAGCATCGCACATTTGAGCTCTGCTGGTGTACCAAAGCCAAACAAGGGTGGTATTATCAGCTGATAAAAAAACCATGAAGAGGAAGTGCAACAGTATGAACACAAACACAACATAAACAAACCAGACAAACATTACTGGGAGATAAATAACAAACAAAATAATAATATACTGTAGACAATACAAAATCAAATGTTCCTTGACAGCAATAACAAAAAGACTACTAATCCATCCAACTGAAATCATTGCCATACATATTTATATCCTTTAGGTTTACATATATCTAGTTAATCATATATGCCCTGTGAAGGATCATCCCAAATGGGCCATAAAAGGCCTGGAACTAAATAGATCATCAAATGCAATTTGCATGGGGTGGCATTCTGCAACAACTGAACACTAACTCTTTTTTCTGAATTTGTATGTCAACTAACCTGACCTCCAGTACATTTAGTACCCTGTGTTTTTCTCAAGTATTTAGCATCACAGTGGCTGGAGTCCAATGTTAGTCGGTTAAAAGTTTCCATGTAAATTACATCATGTAGTTTAAAAGTGTAACGTAATGTTAGACTGCTGGCCTGTCAAAACCGCAACTGGAATTAATAGATCAAATACTGATGTAACTGTGAGCTGGAGATTTCAATAATGGGCTTGTGTAAATATTGAGATATTTTATAGCAGATTATAGTTTACAGTATTTATATGTTTTTTTTTTGGTTGAGAAGACTTGAACTTTTTATGGTTCTCTAGCAAACGGTGTAGACTTTCAGCAACAACCTGCCCTATTCAAAGATAATAATGTTTTACAGTGGTCTTATTTCAAGTTTCACAATCACAATCAGGGAAATTGGCTATTACAATAACAGATACTATACAGTTAGTTAACAAGAACATTTATTCACTCAAATCAACCATTTCACACAGACACACACGGCCAGACTAATTAAAACAATAAAACATTTTAACAACTAAAGTAAATATAATCTAGTAAAGCTTTAAAATCTCTCAAAGGAAGGAGTCTCCCTAACCTCAAGATGTGTTGCAGTAAATTCCAGCAGTAAGGTACTGAAAACCAGTCTTCCTCAGTTCAGAGATGGTATGATCATTGAAAGCCGACTGTAACCTGGAGAAGGCCTGGTTTGCAGTCGGGCTGAGTGCATACAAGATGGCATCTTCAGCAGTTCAGCATAGGAAAAGACACATTTATGTACTGAGTAAATAGCACTGGGAGCTAATATTGAACCTTGAGGGACACCATAACCATATGGTTGATAAAACACACTAATGGTCCCTCGCCTCCCAGAACACATGTTCTTAGTGTTTGCTGCAGACAACTGTACAGTCTGACTGATCCTGAGCCAGTCAAATAAAAACATAAAACAAGCATCAAATAGGTTTCGGATCTGTTCTACAACATATAGTACTGCTCTAACTTTATGATGGCAAACCAACTCAATTTTACAGTACTGCTAAATTAATAAAAAGGTTTAAAATATTCTAACTTAAAAAAAGAAAATGTGTTGGTTGCAATTAGAATTCTGTTGCATTTTAAAATAAATTACAAACATTAACTGAGTTACAAACATTTGCAGGCAAATTGTATGTACATTTTAACTGTGTCATTTATCTTCTTTGACAGAGTACCTAATTCTATGAAGGACACAGCACAGACGTCAGTACAAAGTTAAACTGATAACTAAGCAAATAATTATTCAAAGTATTGTTGTGGTTAACAAGCCCTCAGCAGGTGATTACATTACATACATAGTTGGAGACCTTTGATATATGAAAGAGGAAGGTTGGCACATGTTTAAGAATACAGGAAAACACTGCTCTCTAACTTTTTGTCAGTGTGTTTACACACCCAAAACGTTTATCA